CGAACAAGAAGCTCTCTGTCGAGGCAACATACGTGTCCTCAGAGGACCACGAAACTTCAGCGTAACCACCAAAGAGAGAGTCGTTGTCTGATTGGACAACCACCACCGTTGGTCCCTGCATCTCTTCACTCCTCTCTCACATCACACATCGTGTTTCTCACCCTTCCATCACAGAGTGTGTGAAAGACTGACGCTTGGAAGCCGTGCTCAGTAGCCTTGTAGAGACGTTCACCGATCTTCTTTCCTTCTCCTATCCATTGTTCGATCCTCTGCCTGTGCTCTCCACTGAGGATGTCACTGACGTCAGGCCTCAGTTGATCAGGCTGCACGTGGCATCAGTGAGAGTGGGAGGATGTGAAGAGAGTGAGATACGTACGAGAGGGATGAGGTAGTATTCCAGCTCCTTCCTCAGGCTCTCTCTCTGTCTTTCACTCAAGTGATCGATGACCATCTCTCCCGTGCGAAGGAGCTGTAAGACATAGTGGAACAGTTCTTCGTCTCGGTCGATAAAGTATGAGCCGTCTGCATCTGGCTGTCTCGTGTGTCAATTCGTGGTGTAAGAAGGTATGAGCACCTTCCAGTGTCCACTGCCCAGCATTCCTGTGAAGTATGTGTTCTCGATCGACAAAAGTGTGTCCTTTGTCGTCGTGTATCTCTTGCCACCCACATCGAGCGTGATCTTCTGTGACGCTTTCGCAATGCTCTCTTGCATCTTCTGCCCGAGCTCTTTCCAATGTTCTTCTTTCTCTTGCAGCTCTCTTATCTTCTCTTGTGCTCTCTTTTCATCTCGTCAGCCCTTTGTGACCCCACGTTTCTCCGTCACCCCAAGGTAATCAGTCAACACAGACACTATATGGTCTACACTCTCTTCGTCGTCTTCATTCTCTTCTTGTCTCTGCCTCTTGGATGGTGGCTGGCTCTCCATCGTCGTTGAAATAATCAATTTTCAAAATCGAAAACTCATCTACAAGAACGGTTCATCTGATCTTCAGCAGCAACAATAAGCGATCGGTCTGCAGGCAGGTCAGAAGCAGTGAGATGGACTCATTCTATCTTTCTGCGAGAACAGTACCGCACAATCTCTTACTGAGCTGCAGTGATGTACTCCCTCCAAAGAAGATGTACTGAAAGAGAAACAGAGGCCTTCGTTTCGTTTCAGGCATGACACAACCCTGTGGAGTCCCATCAGATGATATGGAGGAAGGTACGTACATCACGGTCGTCCTTGTGATCTCTTCGCTGACATAAGATACACCAACGTTCTTACCTCATCACGAGGGCACTACCACTGAAGGAATCAGTATCAGACGCCGTAAATGTATGCCATGCCGCAGCCATTCGGATTGAACGAGATCATGATCGTGATGGCTATGTCGATCGTCGACCATCATGCACGCTGACGTTCGAGACGATCGTTCAGAAGCACCAATCTCTCGTACCATAGTATCTCATGAGTTCTGTCTGTCCATTGCCCTTGGGAATCGATTGTACGCAAAATCACGTGGTGAATATCGCACATCGGTGTGTGATCCGGTCACAATCATCATGCAAGATAAACACAAGAACGCTCCATCTGATCTTGTCCCTTCTGACGTCACAACAACAACCATTATCTCTCAGAATGAGGCTGTTCACCGTCATCATTAAGCGTCACGATTGATCACCACGGTGGTAGAAGAAAAATGACACACGATCTACACCATTCATTGACTCAGATGACCTTATACACTTCGATGTCTTTCGTTCGAAAATTTCGTGCACCCGTGAACAATGTGGTACCCTTCCCCGTAGTGTCCTCGTAGGTATGCGGCAAGTTGGAGTACGAGCCGTTGTTGATGTTGGATCCGTTGCAAATGTGGAAATCGTATCCACCACCAAAAGTGGGGCCGGCGGTAGCTGCACAATTGATGGCATACTCTGGTGTTCCCGGGACCTTGAGATTGAGGCGAGCTATGAGCCTGTGTGGATTCTTCAGAGCGAACAAGAAGCTCTTTAACGAGGCTGTATGACCGCCTGTAGAGGACCATGAGACATCAGAGTAGCCACCAAAGATAGAGTCGTTGTCTGATTGGACAACCACCACCGTTGGTCCCTGTCTCTCTTCACTCCTCTCTCACATCACGATGCATCACGTGTGACTCACCTTTCCATCGCAGAGGTGATGAAAGACTGACGATTGGAAACCGTGTTCAGTAGCCTTGTAGAGACGTTCACCCATCTTCTTTCCTTCTCCTATCCATTGTTCGATCCTCTCTCTGTTCCCTTTACCGAGCATGTTACTGGTGTCAAGTTGAACGGTTGGCTGCGCAGAAGGTGAATTCAGATAGACATGGAGGAGGACTCACCCAGGGAATGAGAAAGTATTCCAGCTCTCTCTTCAAGTCCTTCTTCTGTTGCTCGCTCAGGGTGTCGATGGACATCTCTCCCGTGCGAAGGAGCTGTAAGACGTAGTGGAACAGTTTTCTGTCTCGATCGATGAAGTAAGAGCCGTCTGCCTCTGGCTGTCTTACTTGTCAGATGGAAGGTGAAGGAAGATGTTGGACACCTTCCAGTGTCCACTTCCGAGTAGTCCAGTAAAATAGGTGTTGGGTATCGACGTGAGCGTGTCCTTCGAAGTCGTGTATCTCTTGCCTCCCACGTCGAGCGTGATCTTCTGTGAGACCTTGGCGAGATTTTCATTCATTCTCTGCTCGAGTAGCTTCCATCTTTCCTCTTTCTCTTGCAGCTCTCTTTTTCTATCCTCTATTTTCTATCCATCGATCAGATAATCTCGTTCGAGTCCGTAATCACCTTTAGGCTGACATTCAAATTGGCCAGCAATTGGTCTACACTCTCCTCTTTCTGCATTGACCTTGATGATGTGTGCTTCTGAAAAATCTCAGTGGAAACTGTTTTTGGGCCAGCACAAAAAATTGGTCCGATTGACTCACGTAGTGAATCAAGCCGGAGACAAGATAGTGTCTTCGTCAACAACGTCTAGTTCTTTCTACACTTCGTGCAGACCCTGCTAATTTGAAGAAATGACAACAGTTCCATTTTTTTATCCATCAGATGGTCCCATCCGATGCACTCCCTCTACATCTCCATCTCTTCTCAGACACCATCCCTCAGCCACCTCCTTCGTCACTCCCCATTTCTTCCCAATCATCCACAGCCGGATCTCTACATCTCCTCTCCTGATCTTCTCTCCAAACTCCATCTTCATCCATGGACATTCCTTCTCATCGACTCCGGTGACGCTCATCATCCATCGAAAGAGCCGATGAGCACCAGAATCGTAAGCCCAACGTATGAAACTCTTGAAATCGAAACCAACGGATAACAAGAGGGAGAACATGTCGATGAAAGCTTCTTGTCTCTCTCTCAAATGCCTTTTCGACGGTGTGAGGTCAGAGAAACGTGGAAGGTCTGTCAGGTGAGCTCCTTCGTTCATCATGCGACGGACGAGATCAGATGATCCGCCGATGATGGCCTGGGGTAAGACATCTGATGGATCCCACGATGCGGGTGCCATGTGATCGAACAGCCACTGGAAGACCTGTTGGTGTGTCAGTGAATACGTACGTACGGTACGCATACCTCTGAAGATCCACTCTCGGCACCGTGTTCGAGGTGGACGTAAGATGGGACGACCTTTCGCTGAGAAAATGATTTTAAACGATTTTAATTTGTCGAACGGTCATCCGTCTCATCATCGTTATCATGTGTGATGAAAAGATAAAAAACGTGTCTTCTGTTGTATCTTCCGTTTGTGTGGAAGAGAAAAATGGTTCTTACCTCGTAGAGCCAATTCAACACTTGGATGTGTCCAGAATATGAAGCACAGTCTAATATGTCACGAGGTTGGTAATTTTCCGTGGACTTGGGATCGAATTTCATCTGTCACAGCCATCAGATCTCGTCATCGATCGTGACGTAGGATGATGAGAAATCACCAGCCATTCTAAGACATCGACTCTTCCTCTTGTCCCCGCTTCTTCGTATGCCACTCTACTGATGAAACCCCTGACCTTCAGCCATTCTAAAACCTCAAATTTCCCTCCTATCACAGCTTGCCGGTTTATGATCTCGTAGTCGATGTGACCGTGTTCGTCTTTCATCATCTGTTCGATGACTTGAACGTGACCGTATTTGGCTGCGACACCCATAACGGTATCGAGTGGTCGTGCATTACGGGTCAGCAGCTCCTCCAGCATGTGATGTTGGTTATAGACGCTGACGCGGTGTAAAGCCCTCGATAACCAGTGAGCGCTGCGGTGAGGTAATTTGTGCATGATGTTCATTGTTCCTGGAAGGTCTCCGGTGTGGATGGGGGAAGTGAGATCATCTTCTCTCACATCTCGGATGTGCTTCGTCCACCAGGTGATCTGAGGAGGTTTGGAAGGTAAAGAGGGTACCTTGTTGGTGTGTATGTGATGGGTGATCTCATTGTGGCAATCTTCGCATTGCATCTTCTGTTGGACGTGATGCAGGGAGGATGAGGTGGGAAAAGACCACTCGCATAAATAATCTTCTTGGCGTCTTAGCATGACACCGTGAGCAATCCGGCACATGTTCTTTGATGTAAAGTAGATGGGTGCGAGATCAGGAGTGTCCAGGTAATGAATCAAGATGTACGTGAATATGTCGCAGTTCTGAGTAGCATCGAATGGCATGAATAGTGATTGAGGCAGCGCAACAACTGCTGGTAGTGTTGCAGTAGCCTTCTTTCTATTTGTGTATCAGCAAGGATCACATCTCATCCTCTCACTCCAAGTCCACTGTGATTTCGATTGATGCATTGTCACACCCTTCCCTCTCTTCCTCCACGATAGCGTACTCTTCTTTCGATTCCTTTCTCCTTCTCTTCCTGCCTGCTGTTTCCATCTTTGTCGCTCGGGAACTTTCACACGCCCGCATCTCATCCTTTACACCAAAAATAAAAGTCAAACTGCTCCTTTCCCACTATTACCATCAAACTCGACTCCCAGCACAACATGCCCCTAGTACGTAAAAAAGAATGGAGGAGAGGGGTATCGATCCCCTTGCCTCTCGTATGCGAAACGAGCGCTCTACCATCTGAGCTACACCCCCGTTGTTGGCCTCTCAAAGCACAACCGTGTATATGTGTTATGTGCAGAGAGCGGGCGTCGCTGTGATGCATCTGAGCATCCAGAGGGGCGCGCACGAATATGATCACTAGTTCGTTTTATTGATGACTTCTAGATATCCGCGCTAGGATTGAACTCCGAGTACAACTTGGCACCTCTCATCGTGTTGATGAGGTAGTTGAAACCCATTGGCTTCTTGCGAGCTGAAGAGAGTGAGCGAAGAGAAGAAGAGAAGAAGAGAAGAAGAGATTGAGAAGAGTGAGCGAAGAAGGTGTCACCTGGCTTCTTAACTGGCTCGGGGGCAGGTGTGGGCTCCGGCTCATCTTCTTCAGACTCTGCAGGTGTCGGTGGTGCCGATAACTTCTCGTAAGCTGTCTTCGAGTTTCTCGCCAGAAGCTGTTGATCATCAATGCCATGACGATGATGTGAATGACGATCGTGTGATTGATGATGATGTGGACGATGACGATGTGACAATGATGATCGTGTGAGCGGTGATGATCGCCATGATGATCTCACCTTTCCGATGTCGTCTACTACGTCTGGATGTCTGTCTTTAAAGCCAGAAGACACGTCACTGAATGGAGTGGGCACGAAGGAGAGAGTGTTGTTCTTCGTCTGCAGGGCGTGTCGGATGATGTTGTATCCATGAGGTGTGATGTCGTTGTGATCCCAAGCTAAAACTCTCAGAGTCGAATTCACCTACCATCGTCAAATCCCAGCGAAATTTCGATACGACGGAAAACCGAACGAAATTTCGACTCGAAGTCACCTGGAGAGCTTTTCCTAGAATGAGGGCCAAGTTATCACCCACACCGTTTCCACTGATGTCTAACTGATCGAGTGATCGGTTTCTCATGAGAGCGAACACGATGGGCATCAACTGCATCTCCGTTCAGTTCACTCTCTATCGACGTGAAATGAGAGGAAAATAAATGGCAGGTTGTAGATGGAATTTTCTTCGAATTTCACCTCCATGCGTAACTGTCCTCCCCTGGCACCTGCCACCTCCAGATGCTCCAGTGGACACTCTTCACTCTCTACAACGCCGTGAGACGTCACGACGTGGCGTCAAGATATCTCACCGAGGGCTTCAGCGAAGGGTGCTATGATCTGTCTCCTCTGCTTGGTCGCATTTCCAAAGTTGTTCGAGATGTTCAACCTTCTGATCTGTCCTCAAGTCAGTCTTCCCGCCAATTTTCGGATTTCAAATTTCAAACGCTCACATTGCGGTTCGTCTGCAGCAGGTTGGTGGCGATGGAGAAGATGGCGTCACCCGTGTTCTCTTCGCTGAGGTCGAGATCGACGATCTACAACGAGTCAGGAGGGGTCGCAAACGAATGAAACACACATTGGGCAGAGACTGAATGAGACCGTCCGAAATGTCTTGAGTGATGTTTGCGCGGGAAATATTTAATTTCGTCAATTTGGGACAATTCTGGAAGAATCTACAACGAGTCAGAACATTTGAGCCGAAATTTCGATCCGATTTCCATCTCACCTCCAAGCGTCTAAATGCTTTAAATCCTTGTGTCCACCGTTTTTATTGTTTGAAACATCGAGGCTCGTGACGGACGCAGATCTGAATACGTGTTACGATGAAGTCCGTGGAGACAAGTGAACATCTCACTTTGTCAGACTCGAAAAATCAACGATGCTGGTGCCTGACAAGTTCAAAGTCTTCAACTCCACGCAGCTGGCCACGAGTGGTCCCAGCTGTTTGATCGAATCCTCCAACTACAATCGTTCAGTTTTTTTCTTTTCTAATTGTATAATATAATATTATGTATGATATATATATTTGGATTTTCACCTTGTTCTGTGATACATCGAGAGATGCAAGTGAAGACATGTACTTGTCCATGGATCGAAATAGAGGAAGTAGACCGGCTCCGTTGCCTCCCACGTTCGAGATGTTGAGAGACTCAAGGCGGCCGATGTTACCTAGAGCGGCGGACACAGAAGCGAGACCCTTCGCCTGACAGATTTTCGGTTCGTTGTAGATGATAAAAAAATCGAAATAAAATCGAACGGACTTACCTCGAGAGAGTTTCCTGATATGTCGATGTTTCGCAGGGCGGAGGATTTGTTCGTGGCCAAGGCATTGAAGATGGTGATGATCTACAACGGTTAAACGAGATGAAACTTTTGCAGATCTGCGATTCACCTGCTCCTTCGAGTAGCCGGCGTCCCTGATCGAGAAGGTGTGGAGGGTCGTGTTCGTCGCAATCATTTGGGCCACAAACGGTGCACTCTCCTTGTCCAATTTGAGACCGTCCGTCTGTCATGACGATGAGGATCTCTCATCAGTCTCGTCATCACTCACGGTGAAGGATTCAAAGTACTTGTTATAAGCTAGAGTCTCCAGTAGGGCTCGAATATCATTGTTGTTCAGCTTGCCTGTTCATGTCTTCAGATGTGGATGCAAAATAGTGGAGCTCACTCGGTCTGAAGTAAAACTCTAAGAGGCTGAACGTCTTGCAAGAGGTGGCGTGATAGAGGTTGTCGATGTCCCAACAGATGTCCTGAAAGGGATGAATAAAATGGAATAAAATAGAATTCCGATTTTCGTTTACCTGGCACACGGGAACTTTCAAGAAGTCACAGTTGGCTGTGTAAGAAGAGACGAAACCTCCGCAGTGATCGTCCTCTGCCTTAGCTGCAATGACATCAGATGATGTGATGATGAAGAGTCCAAGATGTGATGGAAGATGTGATGTGTACCTGATGCTTGCGGCTTCGTCTTCAGAGAAGAGAAGAGAGCGGTGATATTGTTGTTACGATCGGGCAAGAGAGAGTACGGGCCGTAGAGAGTGGCTAAGACGGAGTCTGGCTTGCTCTCGTGCGTGACCTGTCAATGTGAATGGGGGTCGGTGATGGAGGGTCACTGTCTCACCTGCACGATTTCCTTGTTCTTCAACTTGAAATTGACCTAATGGAACGCGTGAGCATGGAATGATATGTCGACGCTGTATGATTCCCTCACCAAAGTGTCGTCGATGACGATTTCGGCAATGTCCCAGAAGTGGAAGTCACTCAACAACTGCGGGTGTCAATCGAATGGGGTGGAATCGGATGCATCGCATTTCGACTTGATTGACGCTTGTTAGAAGGCCATACCTTTCCATCATTGCTTCGAACGATGTATACGCGGTGTTGACCTACGGCAAAGACGATAGGTAGCTTCTCCTTCTTCTTCATGTAGAAAGTTCTTCTGAAGATGGCCGAACGGTCCAGGTGCTGAACGAGGTTCGCATCGAGGGTCTCTGATTTCACATTCAGCGACCCATTACATCATGTATTACAGAAGGAGATGGACTGTTTGTTCTGGATAGACCTCACGACTCACTCTTCTCTACCGCTGTGAGTTCGCTCATGCTTGTCTTCGGGTGCTGAATAAATGAGAGGACTTTTAAATAGTGTTTTGTTCACGGAACAAGGGTCGACGCGGAAGCTGGGCCACACCACATCATCCAACAACAGAACTGTGTCTAAATGAGATCGATCTGAATCCCTGGATCTCATTCTGCCACGATCGAGAGGCATACACAGGAGGAAGTGCTTCAAGTTGTGCAACGCAGAGTGCGATGGGTGCGATCGATGGTTCACTTCTTTAGAAACACGATGTACGAGGGACACCGTGAGATCAGTGGAAAGAGTGTGCGTGCATGAGCCAGCGGATGTCGATTACCGCCGTCTACAAACGTCAAAGACACGTAGGTGATCTCACAACTCATTTTGAATCTCGCTCGTAATCATGGAAGAAGGAGGGGACTCTACGACGGAGAAGTATGTCAGATTGAATAAGATCAAGACGGACACACAGGTGAGTCATGAAACCAGATGGACATCGATGTGGAAGCTTCGAATGGCTCCTGACAGAAGATGGCCATGAGGTACGCATCTCACACCATCTTCAGGCGATTAAGAACGAAATTCGTGTCACATCCCAAGGCAAAACACGAAATTACATCTCATATGCCTCCGCCCTCTTAACCGGAGCGGTGAGTCTCCCATCTTTTATACCATCTAAACTCTATATCCTCCGTGCTAAGTGTATCGATTTTGAATGTAGAACAGGACGACGAACCACAACATGAACAAGTCATTTTGAAGGCCATGGGCCGAGCCATTAACAAGGCCGTATCTGTTGCAGAAATCCTAAAGAGGAGAGTACCTCTTCATCAAGTCACCACCATTGATTCCAGTAACATTGTTGATGTCTGGGAGCCCATCGAAGAAGGTCTGGACAGGTAATGTGTTCCATCTAATTCATCTCCCGCTCACATTTCGAACAGAATCGAGACCACACGCCACGTTTCTTCCATCACAATCGTACTCTCCACCCAACCGTTAGACGTCAACGAGCCTGGCTACCAGCCTCCTCTTCCTGCCGAAGAAATCAAACCATTCACACAATGTGAGATCTCATATCACATCTCGATTGACATTCCAACGTCTAACTTTCATCCAGCCAGAGGTGGTCGAGGCAGAGTACACAGGGGAAGAGGACAACGCGGAAGTTTCAGAGGCAGAGGCAGAGGTTCGGACGATCACCATCACCAATCGTTGCAAGCACCCGCGACATCTCAAGATGATGAGGTAGAATACGAAGACGACGAAGACGAGCCCTCTAGAGTGAGTCGCGAGACCATGATGTCCATCGTCGCCGACATCACATTGCATGCTGATTCGACACAGCCACCCGAGAGACCTTTCAGAGGAAGAGGTAGAGGAGGCTTCAGAGGTGGTCCACCGCCGAGAGGGGGTAGAGGTACGAGATTGGCTCGTTGTAGATGATGACGTGTCGCAGGAAGAGGAAGAGGAAGAGGAGACTTCAGAGGAGACTACCGAGGAGGAAGAGGAGGAGATTATAGAGGAGACTACAGAGGAGGAAGGGGACAGGGACAAGTTTAGATTTGATAAAGATGTTTCTCGATGTTTAGATGTCATCTTACAACGTCATGGACATCGATCGCCAGA